CTAAAAGAAATACAGTTAGTTGCTGTTAATTGTGTGAGCAATGTAATGACCAAAATAATTACTACAATTGTTTATGTCAGTTTCCTTGAACAGGAGTCCTCAATGACCTTCAAGGAACTTAAACAGTCCATCGAGTTACAATGAACGTCTTTCCTTTTAAAAAGAATATATCTGATCTTTTCATTACTTCGAGGTTGTGTGACTGTTACTTTTAAGCAGCATGACAACCATTTTATGCAATGCTGGAGAACCAACTATGTTCATTAATGACAAAACCTTTTTTTCGTCCAGGCTCTTCAAATGACCAAAATGACTGAACCTACCTTTGTTGCTGAAATATCAGTGATATCGGTGTGTAAATACCTGGGAAATATGCTATGAACCTATTGTGTTTGCCTTCCTAGGTTTCAGAAAGTCATTAATGAGCACTGATGAAATACTATCCCCTCTGACAGTGATGTGGAGATATCGCCAGCCAGGACCGATACTATTGGAATCATCCTTACACTGGCAGCAAACGTCATTGCCAAAAGAGTCGTCGATGATACGGAACACATTGGTAATGTATAGATCTGTTTTCTATCCAGTATCAACACATAGATGTCAGAACTATACAAAGTGCAGTTTGATTTAAATGTGTCTTGATTTTGAATAAAAGAGGGGTGGGTGTATATCAAATGTGTCTGATGGCACCACATGTCAATGCACTATGTTAAGGTTCATCTTCAGTAGCCATGCCCAGCCTCTCAATAAACTGACTCACAGGATTGTAGATTGTAGCGGTGCCCTCCTGTCTTGGAGATGTTGACAGTCCCTCTATGTTCCTAGTCTTACATAGCCACACCTATCTCTTTACTGTAGTTGTCAGCTGTGTATATATTCCCCAGAGCAAGAGAAGTATTTATTTAGGAAGAGAACAGTATGTGGACATTCCCAAAAACATCTTCGCTAGGGTAACATTATCATCACATTCATTCGTACCCATCACTCTGACCTAGTTCTCATACTGTTGTGAAAAAAATTCTCTTAATTCTGAGGCTGTTCTGTAAATAGTTTTCCAATGAATATAGCAACCCTTGATCATCCTATATGGATTT